AGGATAGTTGTGCCAGACTGCTGCTATTTCGAGGTGCTGACAAGAATGCACAAAACTTTGCCAATCAGACGCCCTATCAGGTGTCAGTGGTAGCTGGAAATCTAGAGCTGGCTGACATCATAAAGAACCACGGCACCGATGAGATAGGTGAGCGAACAGCGCAGGGAATAGAAGTCATCAGAAGTAGATAATAGGGAAATTATCTATTTCCCTATTATCTACTTCTGAAGTTATATATGGTAGCCAATTACATCAGCAAGTTGTACTGGTAATGATATTTCTAATGTAATGAAGTCTGCAATGTCAGGATGAGGGTTGTGGCAGTGCTGCTGCTGTTGCTGCTGCTGCTGCTGTTGTTGCCGATGATGATAATAAATTAATAACGAGAATGCTGGTGATGATGATGATACTGCTGCCAATAATGACGATGACAGTAACGTCAATTAACGTCATCTTGCTTGACATAATTCACGATACGACGACAACAATTTTCATTAATGCCTCGGTTTGTCTGACGTAACTCAAAAATAACAGCTAACAGGACATGACAACAAAAATGAGACGACTGCATCCACCCTCCACAAAAAAAATCACTTTGTCGTCGTCAATATTGATTAAATCTAACGACTTAACTCTATCTTACTTATAAACTAACTCTAACGAGGTAAGTTAGAGTAACTCTAACGAGTCTTAACTATAAGTTAACTTATCTCTTAACGATGAATCTAATTAACTAAACTTAAATCTTAACGATTAACATAATGAACTAAACGTACTTAATTAACTAAACTTAATTCTTAACGATGAACTTAATTAACTAAACTTAATTCTTAACGATCAACTTAATTAACTAAACTTAATTCTTAACGATCCACTTAATGAACCAAACTTAATTCTCATCAATTAACTCTAACGACAATCATTTCTCCTCGCCTCGCAGTTCCGTTCCGGGAAACGCCGAAGTACAGTAACCGGCGGCGTATGAGTGTGGCGGCGCATCCCGGCACGCCGCAGTACGCGCGCCCGGACCGCTGGCAGGGCAAAGCTCCGAGTCCCGCGCAGTCTACACGCAGCCTCCCTCAGTTCTCGTCTGCCGGCTCGACGCTATCGCTGTCCGACAGCAGCTCCAACATGAACCACGCCGACGTCGACGACTCCGCGAGTTCTTACAACTCGGGTGAGTGGGAGCGATTTCTGTCGCCGTGACGACCGCACGGCTTCTTTTTCTTTGAATTGTCAATTTTTTTTCTCTTTTTTTCCTTTTCCTTTCCCCCTTTTTTCCCTTTTAATATGAACCACGCCGACGTTAACGTTTACGACCCTGCGAGTTCGTATACGGTAACTCGGGTGAGCAGGGTTGATATTGGTTTGACCGGGTTTTTCGCTTTTATCCGCTCCACAGCAGGATGTAGACTAGGACATAAGCTAAACAGCCTCACATTCTAAAGGGGCTTATCAAAATCTTTTTTACTTCTTTTTTGTCAACTCTTTTCTTTCTACTATTTTTTGTTGTTGTTACTGTTTTATTATAGTTTTATTTAAGAATTTATTAAAGAAGCAGTAAGGATCGAGTATATACCTTATGTCACCGCGTCAATTTGAGTTTAGAATGCTTCGATGCAAATTGAAAATCTAGTTTAGACTGCTTCTGTTCTCTGTACAAACGTCTTTTATCCTCAACACAGGCAAGAGCTCGAATTCGACGTCGCCCGTCTATGTCAGCCCCAAGAAGAGACTGTACCCAGCGATGCCAGGCCGTACCTTCGTCTGTGTGAAGCCGTACCTTCCCAAGGAAGACGGGGAACTCGCCTTGAAGAAGGGCGACTTTGTTGACGGTGAGTCCTCCACAGCGGCAACGCTGTGGCATACATATCCGCTCTCATGGAAACACATCGGTTTGCAGTTTAAGAATGCATCGTAAACACGCGCGAGTTTATAAAGCGAAAGCGGTGAAAGCGAAAACTCGACGCGATTTCACGCAGCTGTTTGTAAAGGTAATTTTAAAAGTATCCAGCTGGTTTGCATTGTAGCAAAAAACCAAGTGTGTGTCAAGGTCACGTACGTCTTGATCTAGATCTTATCGAATGAACTGTAGCGTAACGATGGGCGTTGGTTCTCTCCTTCATGTATAGTTCTGAGTATTGGAGAGAGGGGCTTCTGGGAAGGTAAAGTTGGCCATAGGGAAGGATGGTTTCCCAACGACTATGTGGAAGAGGTCCAGATGCGGAGGAGAAAAGGTATGCCAATGCGCACATAGCTGTAGAACTGTTTTTGAGAGGCTTTTGCGAGCTGTGTGAATGAATTTGTCAGACATTTGTTTACAAACAAACGTACAAACCTGTATAGGTATTGCTAATAAATACCTAAAAATACTATACCTATAAATACTAAATATATATACTAAAAATATAGGTATTTATTAGCTCTTGATATATATATATACATATATAGATAAAGTTATAAGAACATGGTTGTACTTTTGCTTCTGTTTATTGCATACAGAGCTGTTTCGCATGGAGCAAAAGCTCCACACTTATCAGTGCATAATACAGAGTACTCTGTCTAATATCTGACATAGTACTCTGTACACTGATAAGTGTGGAGCTTGCGCTCCATACGAAACAGCTCTGTATGCAATAAACAGAGGCAAAAGTACGACCATGTCCTTATATAACTTTATCTATATTTGCTCTACTCATGGTAGTATTGAGCACTCTCGACACACGAGTTCATAAACAACCATTGGTATATATATACAGGGCCTTAGTGGCCGCCACGGCAGCACGGCACTGCCGTGGCACTATTTTGAAGAAAAAACATTTTGGAATGTGTATCTAATATGACAATGTTGCTATTCAAATTCAAACTTCAAAACATACAGTTGTACATAGTGAAAGTATAAATGCAGATTGAAAATAGGCTTATTTTTCATAATTATGTACTGATAGTATATACAATTTTGTAAATAATGGTTTATTAGTTATCATACTCATAATATATATTTGAGATACTTTAGTCAAAACATCAGCTTTAGCTACATTCCTCTTTGAAATTTACAAATTGATTTTTTTAAATGATCAGAATTGGTTGCTTTCAACATAGCCTGAAAATGCAGGAAATGCCATTTCCAGGCTCTACATTTCAAAATTTTTCTGGGGGAGTTTTTCCCAGACCCCCCGCATTGGATACATATTTCTGCAGTGGCACTTTTTGGGAGGCCACTACGGCCCTGATATATAATATATATATATATATCTATGTATATACATAGTTGACAAACATACTTACCTGTAAAGCCAGAAGCTCACAGAGACATCAGTTAATCATATAGGAGATCCAGCCAGCACGGTTGTTCATTGACCACCGCAATCTCTCTCGCAGGATCAATCACATTAACAATGTTGTCACTCAGTATAGTAAGCTGTATGTTTTGGTCTCCAAATGTATCCATCCCAATCTAGCCTAATCAACCCCCACAGACATCACAATTGCCTTGCGGGAAAAACACGGTTGTCGTTCACACTCACCGAACTTTCGCGCGCAGGATCTGACTCGGACGACGAAGACTCTGTGATACTCAACAAGAACACTCTGGCCGCACTGGTCAGCGGTCAACTCGACCACCAGCCGAAGACGGTCGTGCTGCAGCGCTCGAACAAGGGCTTCGGCTTTGTGCTGCGCGGCGCTCGATGTAAGTGCTGCCCCCTAGTGAGTCGTAACGACGCTCGCTTGTTTTTCGGTGGTTCTCGGAAAAGCGATTCTGACTTCGGCGCAAATTCCGTCGGTTCGTTTGCCCATACTACTTCAGTGCTGCCCCCTAGCGAGTCGTAATGACGCTCGCTTGTTTTTTATGGTTCGCAGAAAGCAATTCCGACTTCGGCGAAAATTTCATCTGTTCGTGTTCGCACTACTTTAAGCGGGTGTTACGATCGAATGCGTAAAAGATTTTATTGCTTCTTAGAAGATGTTCAGATTTAGACAGTTTTCGTGCGCTGCGCTCGCACTTTAAAGCCCATTTTAACCACGCGACACGGTAAAGGCTTAACTGCTGCACAGTAATTTGATTCGTTCGGAGTGGAATTCGTCACTCATTCTTCGACTTCGAACCTCTGCGGAATTCCGTCGAGAAAAGCGGCAGCTTTGCCGGGTTTGCTCGCTTGCGTGGATGTACTGATGTTTTGCAATGCCAGCCATACAACAACATGGATGCTCGCGGAGAGTGCAGAGAAGTACATCGTTGTTTTATTTGCTCGTCCGTCTTTCTTGCAGCCCTCGGAGCGAAGCTGAACTTTCATCCGACGGATCAGTTCCCGGCGCTTCAATACTTGGACGATGTTGACAAGGATGGCATGGGTTGGAAAGCAGGACTGAGGCCGGGGGACTTTGTGATCGAGGTGCGAATCAAGGCATGATTGGAGCGTAATCTCCTCATTCAACCAGCATTTGCTGGCACAGCTCCCTCCGATAAACCTATCATCTTTCTCGCTTCTCTCTCGTTAGCACATCTTTTTTCTTAATTCCTTTCATGTTTTCATTACCCTCTCTTCTTTTTCCTTCTCTATGGTTAATCCATCTTTCATTTTTTTCTGCCTCGATCGTTACTTTTCTTTCTTCTTCTTCTTCTCTCTTGTTAGCCTATCATCTTTCTTCCCTCTCTCATGTTACAAGCTCTTCTCTTCCTTCTCTCTCACTATAACCTCTATCCATTCGTCTTCTCCTGGTACAAATTCTTCTTCTCTCTCTCTCATTCTTCCTATTCTTCTTTTTCGTTCCTTCCTTCTCTCTCACTATTATCTCTGTCCACTCTTGTTGCAACCTCTCTTCTCTTCCTTCTCTCTCACTGTTACCTCTCTTCATTCGTCTTCTCCCGTTACAAATTCTTCTCTTTCTTCTTCAACCTCTCTCCTCTCTCACGCAGATAAATGGTGAGGACGTGCGGACCGCGACACACGAGCGCGTCGTGCAGCTCATCCAGGGGTCCGGCGAGCTGGTCGCTCTCAAGGTCATCACGGTCAAGCTGGACCAGAACACGAAGACGATGACCTTGCCCTTGCAACGCAAGTCCGGTGAGTTGTTTTTTTCCGCGATGCTATGTGTGACTGCGTCTTGGCGAAGATTGATGATGATTATTATTATTATTATTATTATTAATTCTTTATTGCATGTAATTCAAATACAAATACATCTACTGAAGAGTCAAAGACAGTCTTTTTCATGGAGAAAAATCTGATGGATGCAATACTGTTGAGCATGAGCAATTAGGGTTGTCGTATATGTCAATGATCTCGATTGTTGTCGAGTCTCGTCACACTGGGAGGTTTGGTGATTGCCGAAGTCGTGTTTGGCTGAGGGTGTCGAATGCCCTTGAGCTGTTCTTGACGCTGTGAAATCTTAGGTCCAGTCCCTCAGCTCCCACTGTATCGCCTTGGGACTAATTGAGCAACCGACATGTTCTCTAACCAGTTAAACGATCGTAATTGGCGGTCGAAAGAAAGGGCAAGTTACGTGCGTAGTACGTAGTAGCATTAGACCCTCAAGCCAGAGCAACGTCGTAACTCACCCCCCCCCCTTCCCCCACCCTGGCCAATTTACAGGTTTTATTGGTGATGGTCTTTACTTTCTCCGCTTTGGTCGTTAAGCCAAGACGTGAGAGCGTTTACGATGCGAGGATCCCGCATTACCGATTTTCCGTCGGTCGTCTTCCAATTCTTTCCGGGCTTAAACTCACATCATTCACGTTGTGCTTGACACTATGGATTTGTTTTCAGCGCCCAAGCCACCGGCCCGCGATCCGAGAACGTCTCTGTCGGTCGGTCGAGCGAGGGCCAACTCCATGGTGTCAAAACTCGCAGAGATAGGTACGTGTTATCCATCTAATACTGCTGCTAACACTGCGGTGTACGTTTCACTTCAATGGTGTAGTAGTGGTAGTGGTAGTGGTGGTGGGGGTGATGGTGGTGGTGGTGGTGGTGGTGGTGGCGGTGGTGGCCGGTGGTGGTAGTGGTAGTGGTAGTGGTAGTGGTAGTGGTAGTGGTAGTGGTAGTGGTAGTGGTAGTGGTAGTGGTAGTGGTAGTAGTAGTAATAGTAGTAGTAGTAGTAGCAGTAATAGTAGTAGTAGTCAGAGCCTTAGGTAGAGAATTTCTATGTAAGGCTCTGGTAGTAGTCAGATATGCTTTAATTGTGTAGATACTGGTCGAGCGTTCTATCTCATTGAATAAATCTACACAACCTTGTAATACTATAACAGGTTTCGTTATTGTGTGGCCGCTTTTAATAAAGATGGTAACGTGATAAAACTACAATAGGACATTGTGACATTGTTTAGAATAGCGGCTTTGTTTCGTTTTTACATTGTATATAGATTGTGTTTCGTGTGTTGGTTGGCATTTCTCTTGTCGGTGCGTCATAATGATGTAAATTTGAATTTCAAAGTATGTTTGAGCGCATGCTTTAGCATGGTATTGCCAAGTTCTGCTGCCTTGTAGCAGCTAAACTCACGCTTTCAATCTCAACAGTACAATAATGAATGCCGTCTTTTCCGATTTGATTCGAAAGGAATTTTAATGCGATTATAAAGTAACGCGTAACACGATTAACGGCAGAGAAAGAACAGTGGCTGTTAGAAAAGAGCACTCGCTGTAGAACGATGTAACAATAGAACTGCAGAATCACAGAAGTGAAATGTACCGCTTGCCATATGTTTTGCGTCACACCGTGTCGACGATGATATGCCGCCGTTAGCGGAATAACGCTGAAGGGGTCGTTGTCATATCAGGTACTACAGATATGTACCCGAGGTACATATATGTATACACAAAGTGTACCAGACTTGTACTACAGAAGTGTATCCTAACCCTAACCCTAACCCTAACCCTAACCCTAAACATACCTCATATAAAAATAAAAACAATACTAAACAACCTAAAACTACCTCGGGTACATATATGTAGTACCCTATATACAACAACGACCCTTCGTGCCGGAATAACACATCACGATTAACGGCATAGAAAGAACAGTGGCTGTTAGAAAAAAAAACACTCAGTGGAGAACGAAAGAACTGTAGAATTACAGAATTGAAATGTAGTATGTACCATACGTTTTGTGTCCCACCGTATCAACTATAACATGACGCCATGACATCACAGATGTAAAATGTATCACTTGACACTTTGTTTGTGTGTGTGTGACTGACCAACGAAGTGAAAAGTTGAAATGTTGGCAATTTGTGAGGGTGCGAAGCGACCGAGCGAGGGAGCAAGCGACCGAGCCGGGGGAGGGTGTGGGAGATGGAGATTTTGCAATTATTACACTAAAATGGAGCGATCTGGTGCATACCTGAGGTGAAATTCTTGCAAATTTTCAAATGGGAAATTCTTCTTTTTTTTCTTTTTGCTCGGGGGGGGGGGTTTGTGTGAACCCCCCGAACCCCCCTGGCTACGGGCCTGTACTTATATATATATGTTACGTATGAGTATTGATGTACTCGTGTATCTTACTTATTATACTTCATGTTGTTGACTTCCTTCTTACAGAGGCGTCGATGGCGAGACGCAACTCCGTCTCCTACGACTCGGAGGGCCGCTCCACGAAGAGTAGTTCCATCGAGAGCCTCCAGACGGCGCTGGGGGGCGGCGAGCAGCCACGCACCGCCTCCATCAAGGCGCGGCCGACCTCGCGCCGGATCACCGCGCAGGAACTCCAGGAGATATTCGTCCGGACAGGGGGCGTCACCGCGCGAGGACGACGACGACGAAGCGCGCCGCGGCGGCGGCGACGGCGGAGCCGGCAGCAAGCAGCGGGGTCTGCCGAACCGTTACGCGCGTCGCAAGGCGTTATACAACGGCAAGCAGTTCGCGAGCACGCCTGACCTCAAGCAGCTGCAGAGCGACGCGGTCGCCGCGGCGACGCCTCCTCGCCCCGCCGCCGCCGCATCTCACTACGCCGTGTCGGCCGCGCCGCCACGCCGTGCGCCGATGTACAAGTCGACAGAGAGCCTCCCGACCGGCGTGCTCCGCGGGGGCGCCACCGCCGCGAGCCCGCGGTACGTAGGCGGCAGCACGAGTCGCGCCTCCGCCGGCAGCGCCGCGACCCTCACCGCCGACATCGGCTCGTCCACCCGCCTCCGCTCGTCGTCGATCACGCTCCCGTCCTCGTCCGCCGCCCAGGCGGCGCCGCCGTCGAGCCATGGCGGCAGCGACCTCTCGGACATCGAGGCGATCAGCTCGGAGATGGACGAGCTGACGCGCGAGATGGAGCAGCTGTGCGCGTCGTCGTCGGCAACGACGAGCGACGCCGACCGCACGCCGAAGAACTCGCCCGAGCGCGACGCGGCGCCCCCTGGCGGCGGCGGCACCGTCCCGCCGATACACGCGTTCGTCGCTGCCGACGGCTACGTCGCCTCCGGCGTCATCAAGCAGGTGATGGTCGACGGCGACAGGAAGTCGGACGGGAAGTCGGACAGGAAGTCGGAGGGGAAGTCCGACAGGAAGTCGGGCAGGAAGTCGGACGGGAAGTCGGGTCGCGCGGGGTCGCGGTCGGCAGCGGCGACGAGGCACGAATCCGACTCGGAGGCGGACTGGGACCTCGGACTCGCGAGGCCGCGCCGAGAGATGGCGCCACGTGGCGGCCGCGGCGGCGGCGACAATGTGGTCACCGCGTACAGCCTGGACGGCGGCGACATGTACTACAGCAACTCCCTGCCGCGCAACTACCAAAGACGCATGCAGATGGAGCCACCGTCGTCGGCGCCGCGCGGCCGCCGCGCCGGCGCCCCCTACGGGGAGAACTCGGAGGAAGTGTTCATACCGAAGCCGGACTATGATTCGCCGCCGACGCCGCCGCCGCGCGATGCAGCGTCGTCGTCGTCGTCGTCGCAGGACAGGGTGCGCCGCGCGCAGCGCATACGCTCGCACAGCGTCTCCGAGTGCCGCGCGGCGCCACGAGATGGCGCCGCCGATGCGAGGCGCGCGAAGAGCGCCGAGGAGGAGGCCGGGCGCGAGCGCGGCGGGCAGCAGCGGGCGTCGCCGCCGCGAGTGAGTCCGGCGAGGGACGGGTGTCTAGCGGATGCTATCATGATCGCGGCGCAGGCACGGGAGAAGCGGCTGCAGGAGCAGCAGCAGGAGGCCGTGCAGCAGCAGCGGGCGTCGCCGCCGCGCGTCGCCGCCGTCGCCCCGACGCCCGCGGTGGCGCCCTCTACTGAGCGAGACTTCAGCACGCAGCACGTCGGCGCGCTCATGAACGCGATCGCGAAACGCAAGAGCCTCCTGGAGAGCAGCAGCGGCAGCGACCCCGAGGACAGGCAGCAGGGGGCGCCGGCGTCGACCGCCGCAGCCCAGCAGGGGGCGCCGGCGGACGACGACGCGGGGGAGGGGACCTCGCCCTTCGGAAACGAGTTCGCTCGCAAGCTGGCCGCCCGCCGCAGACTCGTCGATTCTCACGGCGACGTCGCCAACGGACCCGCGGCGCCACCTAGTGGCGTCGCCCCGCGGGCGAAACCGACCCGCAGCAGCGGCGGCCAGGCGAATTCGGTCGCGGCGGCAAACGGGGTCGCGACCCGAACTCTCGCGACCCCGGCGTACGCTCCGGTGTTCTCCGCCCCGCCGCTGTCGACGTCAACGGCGTTCGTAGACCCGGAGCTCGTGCGGGATTATCCGACCACCGCGCTCCCGCCTCCGGACTACAGCCCGCCACCAGGGGGTGACCGCGACGACTACTACTACGTCGCCCCGCCCGTCGAGCCGCCGGAGGCGTTCCGCGGGTCTCCGGTGGCGCCCCCTACCGCCGTCGCCGCGCCGCGATACGACATCCGCACGCACGACAACTACGTGACGAAGATCGAGGTGCAGCCGGAGCGGACGTCGCCGCCAGGGGGCGCCGCCGCGCGCGCGCAGGCGCTCTCGCCGGAGTTTCTGCAGCGCGTGCCGGCGGGCGTGTCGCCGGACAAGCGCTTTCGCTTCACGTCGCCGCCGGCGCCCGTCGTCGTGCGAACCGTCGAGGAGGGACTCGAGGTGTACGACGTCGACCTCGCCGCCGCCGCGCTCCCCCAGGCGGCGCCACCGCCGCTGCGGGGTGCCGCGTACCGGGACGCGCGTCCGACGGTGGTCGCGCGCGAGCCGCTCAACTCGAGCTACTCGAGTTACTTCTCGAGCTACTCGGACAGCAGCGACGATTTCAACACGATCAAGCGCGCGCCCGCCTCCTACCTCGCTCAGCGCACGCCGCGCTGGTCCCCCGAGGCCGGCTACCACAGCGCCACCCCGTCGCAGATAACGCCGCCGCCGCCGCCGCCTCCGGACGACGCGCCCGACTACATCGCGCCCGAGTTCCGTAATGGCGGCGGTGCCCGGCAGGGGGCGCCGGCGGCGTTCTCGCGCGAGGCGTACTACCGGCATAAGTACGGACTCGACGACGACGACGAGATTATGAGCGCGGCGTCCGACGACGAGATACTGACCGTCGATCTGAACGGCAGCCGCGTGTCGATGATGGTCAACGGAACGACGCACGAGTGGTCGTCGCCAGGCGGCCGCGCCCGCGCCCCCGCCGCCGCCATCCCCGCGCGCCGCATCCGCAGCCCGCAGACCGTCCGCCGCATGAAGGCGGGGTCAGGCGGCGGCGGCGCCACCTGTCGCGACGGACGCTCGCCCGGCCGCCGCTCCTCCCGCTCCCCCGCGCGCTCCGGACACCGCTCCCCCGCGCGCTCCGGACACCGCTCCCCCGCGCGCTCCGGCCACCGCTCCCCCGCGCGCTCCGGCCACCGCTCCCCCTGGCCGCTCCGGGTACCGGTCGCCGTCAGAGGGCGCCGCCGGCCGCTCGGGGTATCGCTCGTCGCCGAATCGCTCCACGGGGGTGCGCTCCCCGTCGCTCCTCGTCGGGAATCGTCCGGGGACTCGCATCCCCGTGCGCGGGTTCCCGGCGCAGCGCCGCTCCAAGTCGCCCGTGGCGCCCCCTGGCAGCGGCAACCACCACCACCACCACCAGAGGTCGCACCCGAGCGCGGGTAACGTCGCGGTGCTGACGTTCCGCGAGAAACCGATCGCAAACTGGTCGTCGGACGACGTCGCCGATTGGCTGGACAACCTGAAGCTGAAGGCGCTCAAGCAGCGCTTTGTCGCGGGACAAGTGAACGGTCAGAAGCTGGTCAGCTGGTCGCGGCAGGGATTCGCGGGCATGGGCATCAAGTTTGCTGACATGGCGCTGATGCAGCAGTCACTGCAGAAGATGAGGGGCCAGCGATCGCGCACGTACCAGATCTGATTTCGCAGTCGCTATGCATACAATACGTCGTCATTGTCGCTACGCGTACAATACGTCGTCATTGTCGCTATGCGTACAATACGTCGTCATTGTCGCTATGCGTACAATATGTCGGCATTGTTGCTATGCGTACAATACGTCGTCATTGTCGCTACACGTACAATACGTCATTGTCGCTACGCGTACAATAAGTCGTCATTGTCGCTATGCGTACAATACGTCGTCATTGTCGCTATGCGTACAATACGTCGGCATTGTTGCTATGCGTACAATACGTCGTCATTGTCGCTACGCGTACAATACGTCATTGTCGCTACGCGTACAATACGTCGTCATTGTCGCTATGCGTACAATACGTCTTCATTGTCGCTATGCGTACAATACGTCGTCATTGTCGCTACGCGTACAATACGTCGTCATTGTCGCTATGCATACAATACATTGTCATTGTCGCTATACGGGGCCGTAGCTACTAGAGGAGA